GCTAATTTCATTGGCTAGAACCTGCTTGACTCTATCGAGTGTAGATTGCTTTGGCTTGAGTTCACCAAAAGGTCATTTTGCGGCTGAATTTTCTGCAGCTGAATTTTTACCAAATAAAAATTGAGTGTAAGGAATTCAATGACTAAAAAAATTCAGTGTTTAAAATTTGGTGTTAAAAGAGGTTGTTTTCCTTCCATATAAAAAAGGTTTAATTAATTCTGAAACAAACAAAGCAGTGAGAGCTTAACCTGGATTACATTTGGATTCCAAATGATTGAAAGATAAAAGTGATTTGACTTTGGATCAAAGTCTCTCTTTATAAAAAACATTAAGACAACTGAGACTAGAATTAAGAATCTCTGTCATTAAGATTTAAGCAATAGCTCAAGGCTACCGAAGCCAGAAGGATTTCAATAACGGCCCTCCAGTAATATATAATATATATACCAGTAATATACACTCACTGCCCACTTTATTAGGTACCCCATGCTAGTAACGGGTTGGACCCCCTTTTGCCTTCAGAACTGCCTCAATTCTTCGTGGCATAGATTCAACAAGGTGCTGGAAGCATTCCTCAGGGAGTTTGGTCCATATTGACATGATGGCATCACACAGTTGCCGCAGATTTGTCGGCTGCACATCCATGATGCGAATCTCCCGTTCCACCACATCCCAAAGATGCTCTATTGGATTGAGATCTGGTGACTGTGGAGGCCATTTGAGTACAGTGAACTCATTGTCATGTTCAAGAAACCAGTCTGAGATGATTCCAGCTTTATGACATGGCGCATTATCCTGCTGAAAGTAGCCATCAGAAGTTGGGTACATTGTGGTCATAAAGGGATGGACATGGTCAGCAACATTACTCAGGTAGGCTGTGGCGTTGCAACGATGCTCAATTGGTACCAAGGGGCCCAAAGAGGGCCAAGAAAATATTCCCCACACCATGACACCACCACCACCAGCCTGAACCGTTGATACAAGGCAGGATGGATCCATGCTTTCATGTTGTAGACACCAAATTCTGACCCTACCATCCGAATGTCGCAGCAGAAATCGAGACTCATCAGACCAGGCAACGTTTTTCCAATCTTCTATTGTCCAATTTCCATGAGCTTGTGCAAATTGTAGCCTCAGTTTCCTGTTCTTAGCTGAAAGGAGTGGCACCCGGTGTGGTCTTCTGCTGCTGTAGCCCATCTGCCTCAAAGTTCCACGTACTGTGCGTTCAGAGATGCTCTTCTGCCCACCTTGGTTGTAACGGGTGGTTATTTGAGTCACTGTTGCCCTTCTATCAGCTCCAACCAGTCTGGCCATTCTCCTCTGACCTTTGGCATCAACAAGGCATTTCCGCCCACAGAACTGCCGCTCACTGGATGTTTTTTCTTTTTGGGACCATTCTCTGTAAACCCTAGAGATGGTTGTGCGTGAAAATCCCAGTAGATCAGCAGTTTCTGAAATACTCAGACCAGCTCTTCTGGCACCAACAATCATGCCACGTTCAAAGTCACTCAAATCACCTTTCTTCCCCATACTGATGCTCGGTTTGAACTGCAGGAGATTGTCTTGACCATGTCTACATGCCTAAATGCACTGAGTTGCCGCCATGTGATTGGCTGCTTAGAAATTAAGTGTTAACGAGCAGTTGGAACGGTGTACCTAATAAAGTGGCCGGTGAGTGTATATACAAAAAAGTAAAATATCAGCTTTAAACTGAAGCTTAGAGCCACAGTACTGAACAACAATACTGGAAGGAGAGGGAAAGAGAGGAGGATAAAAATATGAAAGGAAAAGATTTTAAAAAATAATAATGAAAATGAAAAATAATAAGAGAAAAAGAAGAAAACATAAAAATATAACAGTGAAAAAAAAGAATTTGTAGGCAAGTGGCACAGCATGAAAAAGAAAATAAATGAAGCTGAAAAAAATATATAAAAAAAAAACAGAAACTCAACAAGAGAAATATCAGCGGTAGATGAAAGAGAAATGGAAAAAGAAATAATGAAATCGACCTACAAATGAAACCTAAACAAAGAAACAGAAAGCAGCAATTTTCAGACCAACACTGATAGAGGAAAATAAAAGAAAACAGTGAGGATGCTGCAAAGGCACAAGACACGGATGACTGAATGATTTAAACTAGAAGGAAGGAAACTGAAAAAGGATAAATAGATGGAGGAAGACAGGAGGAGGGGAGGCATGATTGCCAGCATGTGACAGAGGGAACAGAGGGCAGGGAGGAAGATGAGAACCAAGGAAGACAGACGGGCAGAAGGATGGGATGAAGTGGAATGGAGAGGCAAACAGAAACATCGCAGCAGCGCTGGATGATGAGCGGAGGTGGCAGCAGAAAGCATTAGTGTCCCTTGATGCATCCTTATCTAGATCAGAAAGCCAGATTTCTCCACTGATAGCTGGCAGCCTCCCAATCAGAGAAGCAGAGACCTCTGTCTCTTCCCTTCAGCCTCATCATCACAGCAAACTCATCACAGCCCTGCTGCTAAGACCACGTGAGAAGGAAGGTTTTTTATTTCACCCCAACTGGGGAGGAAGGCTCACCAACAGAACTTTATGGATTCCAAAAAAGTAAAAAAAAAACAAAAAACAATCCACTGGACTTTGTTTCCAAGTTTGAAGACGTTTATCTTCCATCCAGGAAGCTTTTTCAATTCAGGGGGAAAAAATCTGCGGAGTCCGACTAAAGAACATTTTTAATTGTAATACGTTTCTTTATACAGAATTTAACTCTGAAATAAAAAAAAGGTTTGTATTAGGGGTGTAAATAATAATAGTTTTGTATCGATGCATCGATCCAACAGCCGACGATCCGATGCATCGATTCGTCCGCAAGAGAATCGATTCATGTTTTTTTTTCCTCCGGTCTATTTTTATCCATTTGCTGCTGGACGTAATTCTCCCTCCCGTGCTGCGGTGGCGCTAAACCTCTTTTGCCCTCCTACCTCGCTTCCTGGTTATACTCTTACAGCAGTGTGTCGCAGTGAGCTTGATGCAGACATTTTTGATTTATGCTCAATATTGAAGCGTGGTCTGTGCTACACGCTGTGGGTCTAGATACGGCCGAGGCGGCGAGGAAGTGGGGGCGAGTTTAGTCCGACGACGGAGGGACATGAGGGCCAAAAAGAGCAGAGATCCAGGTGGAAAAAGGGTCCCAGCGTTCTCGCGCACCTCGCTCTTCTAGCGGGTCAAACTTCACGAGTTGTTTTCCTCCGGCCTCCTGTCTGCATAGCTGTCTGCGGTCAGCTACAATCTGGGAGAGGTGCAGCAGAGCGTCTGTGGAGGGGGCGGGACGTCTGGAGCCGAGGTATCGCATTGCACTGATTTTCTGCAGTTTTTTTGCAGTATTTTTTGATGCAACTTTTCTACTTCTGTTATTTGCTGTTGTTTCTAAAAAAAAAATGCATAACGATATTACAGCTTTCATTGATTTATTTCAAACTTGAAACTTTGTTTAGCCTGTAAGGTGTAAAAAAATTAACCGATTAATCGCTTAATAGAATTGTATCGTGGTGTATTCTTGAGTAATCATTGGGTCAGGAATTCGATGCTGAATCGAATCGCCATGATGGATGTGATTTACACCCCTAGTTTTTATGCATGAATTTTTAGATAAAAATAATATTTAAAAACATGGAGATTTTCCATTTTAAAATCTAAAGTGTTTTTTTAAAGTAGAGAACAACAATCTTTCAGCTTGGTTTATAAACAATTAATTAACATATTTTCTCAAACCCCTGAACTGATGGTTTGTTATTTTCTTTCTTCTTTCTGTCTTAATGTTGGCAGTGAGCTTTAGGCTGCCCTGCAAGGCTTTAAACCTGGGTTTAACCGGAGACTAAGCCATTCTCAAGCACATATCAAGGAGCTCATTTTGAGCCTGGATCCAGATTTATTGTTGATTCTGTTCATGGTGGAGAATCCTGCTTCACAGCAGCAGGTTGAGCCAAACATCCTCTAAATGTGCAGGGTCATCTTTGAGCACGCCATTTCACTTTTCTTTCACCAGTTCACCGCAGTTCTTCCAGCAGTCCACACTTTCTCTGCTCTCTTTTTCTCATGGTCTTCTCCTTCTTTCCCATCGCCCGGCTTGCCACAGGTTTGCCTGCTGTGTCTAAAAGTAGCAGCAGCAGCAACCCAGACTGACAGCTCATTGGCTCATTTGGATCACGTGCAGCCTGGAGCCGGACGCTCCCCAGGGCTTTACCGTATTAACAGGAGAAGAGGCGCAAGTGAAATTAGACACTGTTGTCGGACAACATGCAGTAATTATAAATGTTTTAAATCAGGTTGGGTCCGGATTTGCCAGCAGGTGGGTCCGCTAATATGTGACCTCTGCTTTATAATAGTAGCCCAACAAAGGCTTGTTTTTGTTAAGAAAAGGGACGAACGGGTCCACCCCTTTTGAATGTGGGTCGTTTGGCTTCTTTTTGTAAGGGGCATTGCAGACTAACGAAAAGAAGCCAAACGGCCGCCATTCCAAAAGAGGTGGACCCGTTCATTAATTTCTATTTGCATGTTTTTCAATCGAAAACAAGACTTTGTTGGGCTGCTGAATCAAACCTGGAACTCAACACTATGTCTGATATTTTGAATTGAAAAAGCTTCCTGGATGGAAGAGAAACGTCTTCAAACTTGGAAACAAAGTCCAGTGGATTGTTTTTTAACTTTTTTGGAATGACTATGACCTGGATGACTGAGAATCTTCTCCAGCAACTTTATGTATTGTGGAATGAAAGGACATGTCGTGTGACTGAGAGAGTCTGGAGGCTGAATCACAAACATGTGGTTTGAATGGAAGGTCGGCGTCCCACGCCACCCATTGTTTACCGGCGTAGAAACGAAGAGTTGCTGTTTATCTGGCTGCTGTTCTGACACATGAAGAGGATAATTAGAGATCACAATGACTGCGTCCCACAGCCCTGGCCTGATGCATGCATGTTTCACACTGATTACAGAGAACAAGGGACGGAACAATCAGGACTCACATTGTCTGTTCTGAGCTTCTTGGCGGGGCAGCCTCCATCCACAGGATGTAGCATGTAATACAGCCGCACTTTGTTGGCGTGTTTCCGACTCTGAAAGGCAGAAGAATGCAAACATGACTTTTTCCATCTCTGTAAGGAAGCGTGCTATCTTAAGAGTGGCTAATCTTTAAAACATTGTTGAAATGTAAAGGGAAAAAATAAAGATTTTGAAATAAAGTGTTATGCAGAAGCATTGATTAAGCTGTTATTAACTTTCAATATATTCATCTTTATATCAACAGACCAACAGTAAAAAATAAATTTCAGAGACTTTATGCTAAAGTTGAAAGGAAAAAAAGACATTTTTTTATTTTACTAACAAAATATGAAGAATGAAGCGGTTATTTCTCCTTTACAGATGTAGAATATAAAACAATATAAACGACAGAACCCGAACTGGACAGTTTGGTTGATCTACAGGGTCATGCTGTGGGAAAGCTCTTATAGAGCTGAACACAGAATAAAATCAGCTAAAAGCAGCAAAAGATATAAAGGATCCATTTCCATTAAAAAAGACTGAATTTTATAATTTTTATCTGATTGTAAATATGTGAATACTTCTCACCCACTTATCATTCTGTTTCTATTAATGTCCACTCACTTATGTGACGGTAATGTTGTACTCTTTCAGCAGCCATGTCGTGTTTTGACGGTCTTGAAATTCGGCTGACCAGCGAAAGTATTTCACATGTCAGTCGAAAGTCTGATGGTGTATTTTTACTTTATAGAGCCGAACAAAGTTCTCAGCGTTCCTCGGTTCACCAGATTCCCAAAGAAGGAACCATTATGGAGAAAAGGTCTGGATGATGGTCTCTTTCAATGGACCAACTTCCAGGGCTCTGCTGTCCCACATTGGGGGAGAAATTACCCGGACAGCAGAGGGTTAGGTTAGACGGCAGTCTGGAGCTCAGACAGGAGCAGAGGGAAATCAGTGCCCTCTTTACCTGCACTAGAGCAGGGAGAGAAGGTAGCATGCTGGGGGAAACTGCACTAGCAGAGAGAGGCTACAGCGAGCTGGGTTAGCTTTAGAAGCTAGGAACAGAGGTGCACTGATGTAGCCTCGTGAGACCGTCCTGATCTCGCGAGCTTTCAAGATTTCACTCGCTAATCAATCTGGAGACTCTCCGTTAAAGAAAATTTGGAGCGGTTCTCCAAACGAACGTCCAATCAGCGTTGGCTCTGAGGCGGGTTGAGGTGTGACGCAACGAGAAGCGCGACAGTTCAGTCTAAAGAACATGGCGGCTTCAGCCGATGAAACTAGCGTTAGCGTGGCTATCGAGCAAGTTTTATGGGAATTACAGAGTATTTCTTCACTGAAAGAAGAGCAAAACACTGCTCTGGAGGCTTTTCTCAGAGGAAAAGATGTTTTTGCTCTTCTCCCAACTGGTTTCGGCAAGAGTTTGATCTATCAATTGGCTCCTCTTCGTCGTCGCTCTGTTAGTACGTCATATGCTTCGTTGATCTGATTGGTTTATTTGGCCCGTCTATCACCAACATAGGCCAATCAGCTAACCAGTATTTTCGCCCCTTCCCAAAATTACTACAACAGAAGGTTTCCAGATGGATATGCGGAGCAAATCCATCTGGCGGAGTCAGGTTAGCACTGATGTGCTCCACTCCAGATCCACCCTTCTACATAAAGATAACACTGGAAACCTTTTCTCCATCTGTGAAATTCACAAGTGCAAAAATGTATATTTTTTAGTCTTCCTACGTTTCTGAACGAGGAATGAAAGCAACATAAAATGAACACAGCTTTTGCTCAGAAGGCATCAGGCTGCTAGTTGAAAATCTACTCATTATTGGTCAAGACTGAGCGACTACTGTATGACTTGTTTGGAAGATTTTAAGTCTATCAAAAGGAATCCAAAACCGTATCTAAACACATCCAGGCATCTGAAATGTATGTATTTATTCAGTCAGAGCTAAAGTGGAGATTTGTGGCCCTAATGCAGGGAACCCTGAGCTGGAGCAAATGCTTGGCTCCTGAAATGATCCCAAATTGTGCCTTAAATGGAATGTTTCAAAGTCAGACAGCTCAGGTCCAAGGAAATATTTGCTTACATTAAACTAGATAATTAGTGATAGTGACCTTTGTGAATAATCCAAAATAATTTCAATTCAGTTTATTGCTATGGTGTCATGATCTGGCCTGTTTGCTCCTCCTTAATTAGTAATTCCTTTCACCTGTTGTTTTTTCATCCCTGCCTTAATTATAATTTATTCCTCTCACCTGTTTCCTCTGGTTTATATTCAGTTCAGATTGAGCATTCAGGGCCAGATCATTATTTGTCTTTCTGTTAGCATGTCTGTTAGTTTTACTCCTTGGTTCCTGTCCTGGATCCTAGTTGCCAGTGGAAAGAGGGCTTTAGTGTTTGTCGTGTCTCCTGATCGTCCACTGTTCCTCCCCCACAGAGTCCTCTGGGTTTTTGGCTCAATAAGTTGGGAGGTTCAGTTTTTATCTCAGTAAGCCTGGCTCCAGGGAGGAGACCAGTTTAAAGTCCTGCATCAAGTTCTGGTTCCACGTCCTGTCTCGGCTACCCTCTTCCACTGAGCCTGCTCATCTGTACCTGATACTGTCTGCTCCTGTGCGGGACCAGCTGGTCATGCTTTCAGACCCAGTCAGACTCTGAACCCTCCTGGGAGCCTGTGGATGCCTGGAAGTCTGGATCCTGCTACCTGTTCTGTTCCTGCCTGATCTGGATCCTGTTCTTGTCTGTTCCTTTCTGTTCTGGATCCCTGACCAGGATCGGCTTCCAGCATGCCCTCTGGGACTGCAGCACTTGGGGACATTCTTGGACTGGACTGTTAAACCAGAGTGTCTGTGATTGGGCGGTGCCCCGCTCCCCATCCTGCAGTGTCCGCGAGCCACAGTTCCACATTAGTTTTTGTTAATTTAATTAACCTTTTTGAACTTTCCTACTGACTGTCTCTCCTTGAATACTGGGTCCACCTGTCCGCATTTCATGACATATGGTACTAATTCCCACCATGTCATCTTATATGGTCTTCTGCTGTGTTCTATTTTGTCTGTTTTTGTCCTTATTTTGTCTTCTATGAACAAAATAGTGACCTCATACAAAAGTAAATAGGCCACACTTTTATTTTTTGAGTTGGACATAAAGCTGTACCTCACTTTCTTATATTATAGAATAGAATAGAATAGATATAGATAGAATAGATTTACTTTATTTATCCCAAGCTGGGAAATTGTAGTGTAGCAGCAGCTTTACACATAGTGACAGTCACAACACAATAAGATAAAGAAAAAGTAAAAAATCACATAACATCCACATGTATTTACATTATAAAAGTACAGTGAACAGTCCTAAGGTGCAGTGAACAAATTATAAATAATGTATTAAAAACATGGAGTGCAGTACAGTACAGTGCTGGTTACTGTATGCTGAAACAAGAGTTTATTTTTTATTGTACAATGTGATGGCATATGGTAGGAAAGATTTCCTGTATCTGTCCCTTCGACAGCGGAGCTGGAGCAGCCTGTGAGAAAAGGTTCTCCGCTGTCTGACCACTGTGTGGTGGAGAGGGTGCTGATCATTGTCAATGATGGATAAGAGTTTATTCAGCGTTCTCCTCTCCACCACAGTCTCAAAAGACTCCAGCCTGAGTCCAAGTACAGAGCCAGCCCTCCTGATGATTTTATCAAGTCTGTTGGTGTCGCTGGCTCTAATGCTGCTGCCCCAACACACAGCAGCAAAGAAAATGGTGCTGGCAACAACAGGCTGGTAAAAGATCTCCAACATCTTGCTGCACACATTGAAGGATCTCAGCTTTCTCAAGAAATAGAGTCTGCTCATCCCCTTCTTGTACACAGCCTCAGAGTTAGACCTCCAGTCCAGTCTATTGTCAATTATCACTCCCAAGTATCTGTAGTCCTCCACCACCTCCCCCCTAATCCGTAGTGGCTGTGAAGACCTCTTCTCTCTCCTGAAGTCAATCACCATCTCTCTGGTCTTGTTGACATTCAGCCTCAGGTGGTTCTGTTCGGACCACTCCACAAAGCTGTCCACCAGTGTCCTGTACTCCCCCTCCTCTCCCTCTCTTATACACCCTACAACAGCTGAGTCATCAGAAAACTTCTGCAGATGACATGACTCAGAGTTGTACTGAAACTCAGTGGTGTATACGGTGAAGAGAAAGGGAGAGAGCACAGTTCCCTGTGGAGCTCCTGTATCACTGACCACCACATCAGACAGGACACTGCCCAGACGGACAAACTGTGGCCTGCCTGTCAAGTAGTCAGTAATCCAGGACATCCTTGTGTCGTCGACACCCATCACCCGCAGCTTCTCACCCAGCAGCAGAGGCTGAATGGTGTTGAAAGCACTGGAGAAATCAAAGAAAGTGATCCTCACAGTGCCTCCTCCACCATCCAGATGCAAATGGGCTCGTTGCAGCAAGTAAATGACAGCATCGTCAACTCCTAAGTGGGACCGGTAGGCAAACTGCAAAGGGTCCAGAAACGTCCTCACCTGTGGCCTCAGCTGGGCTAAGACCAGTCTCTCCAGGACCTTCATCACATGCGATGTGAGAGCGACCGGTCTGTAGTCTGCTGGGTCGGATGGCCTCGGCTTCTTGGGGACAGGAACCAAGCACGACGTCTTCCACAGCAACGGGACTTTCTCCTGACTCAGGCTGAGGTTGTAGAGATGTCCCAGTACAGGAGACAGCTGGCTGGCGCATGTCTTCAGGATCCTGGGTGTGATGCCATCAGGGCCTGCAGCCTTGCGCTGATGTAGTCTTTCCAGCTGCCTCTTAACCTGGCCTGTAGTCACACGGGGGTTGGTGCAGATGTCCTCAGTGGAGGAGGAGGAGGAGGAGAGGGGGGTGGTAGAGAGGTGCTGTACAGGAGAAGGCTGGGGGGAGGGTTGAGCCATTTGGGACAGTGTGAGTGTGTGGGGGGCTTGAGGTGTCTGAGGGGTGGCAGGAGGTGAGCTAAACCTGTTAAAAAACTGGTTGAACTGGTTCGCTCTGTCCAGGCTCCCAGATGTCTGCCTGTCCTTCCCCTTCATCCCCGTGATGTACTTCAT